TTAAAAAATTTATTAAATTAAAAAAAAAAAAAAAAAAAGAGATGAAGACCAGATTAAACTGATTCTACTTGCTGTGGCATCTGGAAAGGAAGAAATTAGAGTGTGAAACAGGCTCTGGTGATCTAGGCTGAGGCTGAGGCAAGAAGATCACAAGGACAAAGTCAGCCTGGACAATAACAGTATGGTTAAGGCCAGCTTGGGCACCTTTGTGATAAAAAAAAAAAAAAAAAAAGAGATGAAGACCAGATTAAACTGATTCTACTTGCTGTGGCATCTGGAAAGGAAGAAATTAGAGTGTGAAACAGGCTCTGGTGATCTAGGCTGAGGCTGAGGCAAGAAGATCACAAGGACAAAGTCAGCCTGGACAATAACAGTATGGTTAAGGCCAGCTTGGGCACCTTTGTGATATCCTGTCTCAAATAGGAAGTTAAAAGAGGGCTGTGGCTCAGTGGTGGGGTGCTTATCCAGTATGTCTGAGGTCCTGGGTTCAAGTCCTAGTGCCACAAAGAGAAAGAGGGAGGTGGGGCAAAGAATGCGCACGCGCCCGTGCACACACATGTAGACACGTGAAGGGATGCTCGAGAGGAATGTATATATTTTGTGACAGTTCAGTGATTTGTGTACTGTTCTAATGCTCTTTATACTAAAATAAGGAAACAAAACACACGGAGGCTAGCAGACATCTCAGATTTAAGGCATAACCTCTTCCATCAGTAAAAAACCAGGGTAGAGCTTCAGAATGTTAGTACAGGTGTTAAAATCCTCAGGGGACTTCTTTCCTGTCTTTCAATCCCCTTTGCGGTTCTATGTGTATTTTTCTGGGCCTGTTTTATTTGAGTCAGGGTCTTAAAATACAGCACTGGCTGCCTGGGAACTCGGTGTGGACCAGGCTTTCTGCACCACCCCTGCCTCTGCCTCCCTCCCGAGTGCTAGGATTCTTGGTGTGTACCACCATGCTCAGCAATTGGGCGTTTCCTGGGCAGACTTGATACATAGGCAACTTTCCTCCACCAGAAGTTACAGATCTCTCTAGACCAAAGTATCCCAGTAGTGAATCAGTCCCTCGAGGCTTCAGGAGAAATCCCAGGGGAGACACGATAGCCACCCTTTAAGTAGGGGGTGGATCTGATCACTCACTGGTCTGAGGGAGAACAACCATATGCCACTGTGGAGTTTATTCAATGCCAGATTGGCATGCCCCTCAGTGGAAAAGACATGGGACCTCCAAAGGAGTTGGCAATCGCCAAGAACGTTTGCGGAATGATCCTGTGTGGAGGGGTAAGCACATAGATGGTCTATCCCAGGCTGGAAGCTTCTCTGCGTCACATGTGGAGGGTTCTGGGTAATGGCCTTCAACCATTGTGACAAAGAAGTATGGCCTCTTTTGGGTCTTGACTTCCCTTCCTCACCCTGGAAGTTGCTTTTCTCAGCACTGTCTGCAGCGTCCTGCCGGACCGAGGTGGACGCCTTTTCCATTCAGCCAACCTGGAGTCTCTATGCTTCAGTGTCCTGTCTGTGACGTTCATCTTGCTTTTCCATCTTGTCTCTGTGCATTTCTTTTTTCCTGACCTCGTCTCAGGGAGGAGGAAGAGGAGGAGGAGGAGGAACACCAACCAGTCACGGAGCCCAATTCAGAGGACGAGAGAGAGGACAATGCCCAATGTCAGGGCAAGGACAGGTACTGAGGGCTGGACCCTCCTGAGCTCATACCAAGAGCCAGAGGCTCCTTCCTCCTAGACCGTTTGCTGCCACCACTTCTTCACAATCTCTTCTCATCCCCACCAACTCACTCTGGTAACCCATCACTTACCCTGTGCACAAGTCACAGAATGACTACTTCTATAGAAATAACTGAGCAAACTTTCATTTGAGGCCTGCATTCTAATCCTCCTTCTCTGACCACAACCATACTTTATAGAAAAAAAAATATCACACAATTTTTTTTTTATCACTCCCCTCTCCCTCACCAAGTGCTTCAGCTCAGTTAGACTCATGGTGAGTAGAAAGGCTTATTTCTGCTAAGATGCCTTTAGGCCTTTTGGCAGTCTAGTAAGAATTCCACACATTCCCTTTTCCCTATTTTTGCTAGTACAATATTAGCTAAGATAGGTGTGTAGCATGTATGCTGATGACTGAAAGTGCTTTTTCTTCTTCAAGTGGAGGGAACATTTTTCCGTCTATATAGTACAGAAAACTTCCCCAGCATCCATTTTTATACCCAGAACATCAAACAGGACTACAGCCTTTCAAGGAGCTTACGTCATCTGCTCACCTCGGTGAAACCTATCCCTTCTGTCCTCACGCAGTGTTAGTAGTCGGGGCACTCTGCAGATACCTTTAAATTTTGTAGGCATTTCCCCCGAATGATTTGTTTATAAAATAAGAATGCTGAGAAGTAATCGCACTCACTGCTCTTCAAAAATGACTGAACTTCCGTAGCTTTCCTTCACCTAATTGTCACTGCACATCTGCAAGTCGATGCTTTTACTTAGTGTTCATATATATATGATGTTGGTAAGTTGGAGTAAAATGTTTCTCTTGCCAGCCTCAAAGTTCAGGTGACACTTGGCGTGATGCTCCATCTGCTAGCTTCCCCGTATACATTAAGTCCTCATTTGACTCATCTTCTGTCATTCCCACGTGTTACAGTATCCTGTGGGAACTGAAAAACTGATGGTTTCCTTACTACCCTCACCCTCCTTGGGAAGGCCTGAAGTGTGAAGAAAGGAATCGTATGTCTAATGATGGAGATCTAGCCGCACGTTTTATAATAAGAAAAGACAGAGGGTCAGCAGGAAATAAACCTTCACCCACAGTATGCCACATTTTGGGGAGGGATGGGTCAGTTGAGGTTCTGGGAAGGGGATAAGTTTGACAGTTCTACCTCAGGGTGAAAACGAGCATTGTGTAGACAGTAAATACCCCAGATGCCTCCATATGTATTGGAGCCTGCATGTTCTGTCTCACTCCAGGAACTTTAAACCCAAGGGTGTTCACATAGTTCTGCATCTGTAGACCATAGGTTGGCTTGGAAGGGTGCCTTTCAGAGGCAGCCCTGTTGTCCATGCACTGTGTTTGCCTGGGCTGGTTACTTACCCAGGGAACTGAATGTTTGCCTCAGACCCAGGAGAGTCCCCGTGTGTGTGAATGGATGTTGGTGGGCTTCCTTCCTAGAGGTTTGTTTGGCCTTTCAGTTTCAGGAAATAAAGTTGAACATGTCCACAGTGGAGCTCAGCGACAGGACCCAGGCACTCATTAGCCTGATCATAGGGCCTTCTCCAGGGCAAACCTGTGAAAGCTTTTATTGGCATCTGCACTAGCTCATTCCTCAGGCTTCTGCCTTCCACGCACCCCTACCACCCTGAACATGCTGCAGCACGGCCCCCAGTCCTGGTCACCTGTGTCTCTGTCCTTATAAACAGGCAGAGTCCTGAATTTGACCAGAGAATGGAAGGGACTCTCCTTTACACCAAACCTACATGACTGCCAGTCAGATTGTCTGGGAAGGCAGGACTGTGGTTTTGAAAAATGCAGAGTTTTACATTGGTTCTCACATTGTAAATATGCTCACATATCCAGGTACCCAACTCTGGTCCCCTGAGGATGGAGCTTTTAATTTTTTATTAATTCTTTGAGAATTTCCTATGCTGTACTTTGATCATATTCGTCCCCTTCCTTCAGCTCCTCTGAGACCTCTCCCCTTCTCTACCCACCCAACTTTGTGTCCTCATTCTTCTTAACCCGTGGAGTCCACTTTGTGCCGTCATACACTCTTCAGTGTGTGACCATCCACCAGAGCATGGTCAACCTACCAGGGCCCACACTCATAAAGAAAACTAATCTCCCTCTCCTAGCAGCCATCAACTGCCAATCAGCTAGGGCCAGGTGGGCACAAAGTCTCACCCCTATCATGCTGGGATTTTTGTCTGGCTTGAGCTTGCACATGGGAGATTCAATGCAGTGTAATGAAGGAGGACAGGGGCATAATGGAACAGGAAAGGTTAAAGGGGTGGGAGATGGGCAGGGAGAGGAAGCGACAGGAGGAGGGATAACTAAAGACCTGTTGAAAGAGTCGTGTGGAGGGGCGGGAGAGATGGATCAGTGGTTAAAGCATCGGCTGCTCTTACAGAGGACCTGGGTTCAGTTCCCAGCACCCACATGGCAGCTTAACAACCATCTGTAACTGCAGTTTGAGGGGATATGATGCCCTCTTCTGGCTTCTACAGGTATTTCATGCACAGGTGCACTTACATGTAGGCAAAACACTCATCACATAATACACCTAAAATTAAAAAAATTTTTTTAAAGTCATATGGAAAGTGCTGGGCATGATGGCACGTGCCTTTAATCCCAGCACTTGGGAGGCAGAGGCAGGCAGATTTCTGTGAGTTCAAGGCCAGATTGCTACATAGTGAGTTCTAGGCCAGCTGGGGCTACAGGGAGACTCTGTTTCAAAAAGACAAAAAATAATTTTACTAATAAAATCATACGGAAAGCTACTACTTTAGAAGCTTCCGTGTGTGTGTGTGTGTGTGTGTGTGTGTGTGTGTGTGTGTGTGTTTAAACTGAGTTCCCCTATAATGGGTCAACAATGCCCCGACTTGGTAACACAGGCTAGCAAATAAAAAGCCCAATGGCGTGAATTGGTAGCTGCTTTTGAAGTTGCTGGCCAGTAAATCCCGTAGACTCAGCCCCAACGTTACAGGCTGTTGCCCGTTGCTCTTGGCTGTCCTCCAGAACTTGAGGGTAAGATCCTACTGCTGAAGACACCACATAACTGAATTAAAGATGAAATTTAAAAAATTTTTAGAGTAATTTAATTGACAAGGTATATATTTAAGACAAACCAAACACAAAATGACTTTGTATATCTAAGTATGATTACCATAATCAAATTAATAAGAATATACACCACCACCTCCAGTTGCTGGGGTGGGGGAGGCCATGACTGTAGCTACCAGCCTGCTTAATGTGAAAAAGATGTTGAAGGCTCAGTGCTGGGCCCTTGAGGACGTGTGAAACAAGCAGTTTGTCTTCCTCGTGCCTTGGCCTCCCCGGCTCAGTGTGTTCCTTGCTTTCTTTTCTTTTTCTGACATCCATGCCTGCTTTGGGGAAGCCCCTGAAAACAATTGCTAAGGCACAGGATTTTATCAGGAGGACAGGTCCTCTATATATGACCCAGACAGAAGTTCAAACTGTGGAATTCCTGAGGCCCACACATCCCGGAGGGTAACTGGGAGGGAACAGAAAGTAGACACAGAAGAACTTCAGGGTGTGGTAAATCCCCTTCTGCCCAGAGGCCACACTCAGGATGGGGGATGCCTCCTTGCTCTCTGCAAATCTAAACCCCCAGATGACCAGGAGTGACTGGACACACCACTGGCTCTTCAACTGTGACAAGAAACAGAACCAGAAGTCAGTGACCACCAGGTAGTGAGGGTGATAATGAGCCTTGCTCTATCCTAACCTTTGCTCCCTTTCTCTCAAATCTCTGTTCTTCTCTCCTGCCTCTCCCCTCCCTCTTGGGCTGACAGTGAGGCCAGCCTTGCCTCCAAGCAGAGCCCCCCCGGAAAGAATGCTACTCCAGAGAGCTCTGCCCTCCCCAGCACCTCAAGTCCCACCTCACAAGGAAGGTGGCTTCCAGCCAGCACAGCATCACGGAACCCTCTGCTTGGTGGATGCTCTGGGTCTGAGGTCAGCCGGGCTGTTCTCCTGCCACCCCCCAGCCCTGCCTTGGCTGCTCGGCCCTCCACCACACCGAAGGCGTCTCGGACCATAGACAAGCTGCCTTACGTGCCCCACAGCCCCTTCCACCTCTTCTCCTATGACTTTGAGGACTCACCCCTACTCACCAAGGATAAGGAAGTGGAATCCCATGCAGAAAACAGGTAGATTGGCCTTCACCAAGCCTGCGTGTGATTAACCCAGGGAGGAGGACTTGGCATGTTACCTGCATCCTGTGCTTGTCTTCTGCTGAGTAGTATGGATCCAGTCATAGAGCCACTGTGAATAAACTAACTCCTGCCCGCTGACTAAATGGGAACAGTGAGATGCAGAAGAAAATGGTCACCTGCATGAACTAAGGAGATCTTTGGTTTTACTATAACTACTAATAGTGGTATTTATAACTACAGTCTGTCGGTATCTGTGCTTCTGACATCCATCCAGTGTGGGTCTTTCTGGCCTGCATGGTGAGCTGAGTACTGTGCCCTCTGCCTGGGTGTGGCCATGTGCTTTTGGCCTTCCTCTTCTGATAAGTGGGCATCTTGTGTGTCCTTTCTCTTTCTTCTAACTTTTTGCTTTGTTTTCTAATCAATGCACTTGTGTTCCCAAAGACTGCTCATTGATGTCACAGAATTACAGTTCGGACCACTTCCTGGACCATTTAGACACTCAATAAGACCCTTAAATAATAATTAACAAGTCATATTGATGATAGACTGCAGGGAAGTGTACAAAGCCACATTCTCTAGGGAAAGTTTAACTGCTGTGTGCCTGCTGTGTAACTGCCTCACTGTCTTAATCAGGGACTCTCTGCTGGAGTGGAGAATGGGGAGTGCGTGTGTATGTGTGTGTGTGTACAAACACGCATACACACACATATATATTGTATGCTGGCGTGGAGAATGGTGTGTGTGTATATATACTAATATATATTTGTGTGAATACATATGTTCTAATAGTTCTATTCTGGTTTTAAATTTTCTTTTTATAACATTTGGGGGGAGTAGTTGGAGGACAACTTTGTCTATCATTTCCTCCTTGTGAGTCCCTGTGATCAAACTCAGGTCATCTGACCTGGTCGCAAGCATCTTGCTGAGCCATCTCACCAGCCCCTAATAGTTATATCTTGAATGGTAAAATAAACAGGTGAAATCCATTCTATGTTTCATTTCGCCTAATATATCCAAAATCTTAATATTTTAAAGAATGAATATCCACCGTTGTTGATCACTCTATTGCCCTCCCGCTTAGAATAATGATGATACGGCTAACATTTAGTGAATATTTTTATGAGCCAGGCCCTCTATTTTCCATGAGTTTGGTGCTTTGAAGTATTACTTAGCCCTTAAGAGGTAGGTTCTATCCCTAGCTCTTACTTCTAGTAGCAAACTTCAGTGTAGAGAGGTTGAGTTAGTTGGCCAGAGTCAGCCAGTGCATGGAGGAGTGGTATCCACACCTGTGGCCTGCCCCAGAGTCAGGTCCCACCCTGTGACCTGTCCTGCTGTAACTCCATGGCTCTCCTTTCTGGGCTTATCATGCCTTTTCCAGAAGTCCTCAGATAGGATCTTGTCAACAAGGGCAAAGCATTCACCAGAGCCTGTGTTTGGGTGACCCCAAGCCTCTGTGCCTGGTAAGAAGCTTGACCTTGTTTCAAATGAAGCCTTAAAAAAACCTGACTCTTCCCACCATGAAATGAACAGTCTCCCAGGATGTTGGATCTCCCTTCTAATAAGTGCAGTATTAATCTGTGGTTAGCAAGCACTTTTGTGTACATATAACCTGAAAGAATTTTGAAACTTCCCTCAAAGTTTTAAGTAGCTTATCTGTGAAGTTTTTGTTAATTATAAGTTGAAATAGTCATAGAGGACATAATTTGTACATTGTATGTGTTTACATTTATTTTGGGCAAACCCCTAAGGTTTTAACTTTAACTGATTCAGTTATGAAAACATCCCTGTATGCTGAATTGGCAGAGTCAGTCCACCAAATGAGTCCTAACTTTTGTCAGAAAGTCTGGCTTTTTGTTTGTATTTAAATAAGTCCATTTGCATCTGGATGACAACTATCTCCTTCTGGAGTCTGATTCTAAGGTAAGAGGGCAGGTGGGCAGGCATCAAGCACAAAGTCTTGCTCAAGTTCATCCCTGGATGAATACAGCGCCATCTTCTTCCTGCTCTGTTCTTTTGCTGGGCACTCTGAAGGTTTTCCAAGGTCCACATGGATTGAGCCTGCCTGAGCATGTGTGTTCTCTTTTCTAAACGTGGAAGGCCATGGTGGGAGGACGGGCAGGACAGGGAAGAGGGGCCATCAGAGCAGCTCTGGCAGAGCCAGCTCAAGAAGAAGCCCTACTTGGACAGATCTGAGGATTCACTTCCTCTTGTTCCAATGATGGCTCTGTCCCTCCTGGAGCTGAGTCCAAACATCTCATAATGCTCCCTGCAGGTCTCTTCCTAGTCCCAAATCCTGGCATCACTGTGGTCTTTCCTACAGATTTTATCTATTGAATCCAGCATGAGTCTTCTATCCTCCTAGATACTCTCTGTGTTTGAGTTAGGAGCTGAGCCAGGGCCTGGAAGATACCAGCTCTGTCATGGTGATTCTGGACTTTGTGTTGGCACCCGAGGGGCCTTTTCTGGGTTTTAGGTCCCTGGTCCAGTCTTTGTTATTTATAGACTCAGGGACTGAGAATAACAGAAACCTGCAAGTTACCAAGTTGACCTTATCAGTGTGCTGTGAAACACAGTCACATGCTTGTGAATGAGGATTGCCTTAGATTTAACTGAACAAAGTTGGTAATTTGTCTGACAGGACCCTCAGTACTGTAAAAATATTGTTGATACAGATTGAACTGTTTGATATTCACTAGCTGTGGTTTTTGTGGGTCTGTATGACCATGGATTTGGCTGCTCAGCGGCTGCCTACAATTGAATAGGTTATAATAGAGACCAACCCAGTAGTCGTTGCAAAGAACCCTCCCCTACTCACAAAAGTGCTGAACAGTGAATTATGATCCTGTCAGCTTGGCTGAAATTGAGAAGCAAAACTGGGCAGCTATGAGGCATTTGAATTAATTTCTTGGCCATTAGAACAACCAAAGGCCAGGAAAACACATTGTGTGTGCTTTATTTCCATAACGTCATTTAAACATAATTCTAGCAATGCGATCCTGTGAAAACATTCTGCAGGAGGTCCACGTGTGGTTGGAGGCAAGCTTCAGTGGCGGGGGTAGGATGACGAGTCAAATGTCCAGCTGCTGGTGGACGGCCAGGCTGTGCCCGTGCGGTGGCAGCATCCGGCTCTGGTGTCCCCACGCCGCCTCCCTCCCTTCGTGGGGTGGATCCTCTACCTGTCTTCTGTTCTTGCCCTACTAGCTTTCCTTTCCTCCTCCACTTGTTTGCTTTCTGTAGTTCACTCTTCATTTTTTGTGGTTTTCCAGCCCTTGTGAAAAATCAAACCAGTGCTGACCTGGAGAAGCAATGGACCTATTGGGCATGTAGGATGGAGGGTTTGAAAGAAAGGAGAATATTCTGGAATCTCAGCTCTTCACAGGATCACAAGTTCAAGGCCTGTCTAGGGTCTACAGTGAGGTCAACATCAGCCTGAGCTACTTAGGAAGACCTCTTTCAAAAAGAATGAAAAAAGGCTGAAGGCTATAACCCAGTGGTAGACATGTGTGAAGTCCTAAGTTGATCTCAGTGTAGCAAGGGGCAGGGGAGGGAGAGCAGAGAGGAAGGGGAACATGGGGGGGTCAAGTCCTCAGAAACTGAGGCCCTTGAAAGTGGCGTATTAAAGAGAGCTGTCAGCTCGGAGTCTCCACCACAAGAGCCCACTTCTGAGCACATGGCTGCCGTACTAGAACGAGCAGCAGCAACAGCATCCAGGGCAGAGGTAGACACACAGGAAAGGTTCAGGGAGGATGACTCGTTTGCATTGTAACAGTTCATTATTAAAACCTGGAATTCCATGTCTGTCTTCCACTTTTAAAAAGTAGATAGCTGGTTTATAGGCTCTCATAGTTTTTTACTTCTGAAAATAGTTTTACACAGTTGTGATCAGACTCTGTATTATAACTTGGTGTTTTCTTTCAGCTTATATATCATTTTCCATATTGTTCATTACAAAATTAGTCATTTCTGTGATGGTTCCAGAATGTTCCGTTGATGAAATCATACTTTCTTAGCCCTTTCTGCATCATTCCTGGTTGGGTTTTCAACATGAGTTAAATAATGTAGGAGTATTTACATGTGTAATATTTTCCTATGTAAACATCAGAAACGTAAAGTTATTTTCTGATGTTAACATCCCGTAGGATTTACATATTTTTAAAGTCAAATTGCTTCTCACAAGTGCCAGTTTCTATTGATAAGAGTTGGGACTAGACTCCCTGTGTACTCCCTGAGTGACCCTTGGGGTTCCACACATCCTAATACAGTGTCCCTAGCCAGTTTAAGGGGAATATTGGCCTTGCCTGCTGTCAACACAGGGCGGCAGCAAAGGTGTCTCTGACCTCCTTCCTTGTAACTAACCCTGAGTGCCGGCTCTGTGTAAGGCTGGGGTGGGACTTATTTCCTGGGAGTTCTCTGAGTGATGAGAGCTACATACAAATGGCTGACGGCTCCTATCCTGAAAGAAAACTCCAGAATTTTACAAATCCTGAGATTCTACTTGTCAGAGATCACTGGGAAAGGACCAAGGTTTATGTAATTCTACACACTGCAATTTTCAATCAAGAGAAATGTTGAATGAGATGAACATCTCTAAGCAGAATGCCAGAAGTCCGGAAGGCTTGGGACAGACGTGCCATGGATCGTGTGGAAGGGACTTGATAGAGTAAAACTAACAATAGCAGAACTTGTAATGAGAGATTTCTTTAGCCAAGCACATGATATTTTCTACAGATTTTCAATGAAATTCTAATTGTGCCATCACGAGTAGCAAGAAAAATTGTTATGGTTCAAATGAAAATAGTTTGGATTCTTATTTTATGTTCCCAATTAATCTTAATGTACATTTATGAAAGACAGGAAATGTAAAGGCTCTCTTTAAGGGTCCTTTGTCATAATCCCATAGCCCACTCCCTAACTGATTTTGGAGTTTGCCGAAATCTTTTTAATGAGAAACTACTAGAACACAGTAGTCAGTAAATCTCCATAGCTTAAAATAATTACTATCCATAGCAGCGTTGACAGACTTTTTTTTTTCGAAAATTAGATGGTTCACTAAATCTTGTTTATATTTATTATTGACTTGTAATCATTTCTGTCTTTTCTCCCCATTTTAAACCTATGCATTTTTTTAGATACAGCAACTTTGGCAATAGTTCCTTTCACTCCTCCAGACCCTCAACTGGATCTAGTGGGTCTCCCTCATCCTTCTCACCCCCACCGGATGCCAGGATGGAACGGTGAGTTTTGGTGCATGCTGTTGACCCCTTGTGCTCAAGCTAGTGAATCAGTAAGATTAAGAGTAAGGGAGCCTGAGTGTGGCCATGTATACCTGTAATCCCACTTGGGGGGTTGAGGCATAAGGAATCAGGGTTCCTGGTTCTTGCTCAGCTACACAGAGAATTTGAGGACGGCCTGGACTCCATGAGATCCTATCCCCAACAAACAAATGACAGCACAACAGACAAATGACAGCACAACAGACAAATGACAACACAACAGAGTGGCTGCAGTGTAAGGAAGAGGCATATTCCAGAGTCTTCTCCTTCAAAGCCTGCAGTACAAGAAGCACACGCCCTCTGTCTTCCACACTGTTTGCTAAGAGATGCTTCATCCGAGATGGTGTTTCTTTTATTATTGTGCCCTTCCCTGTACCCTTTCCATGGAAAGTATCAACATTTCTTCTGAAATATTTGAGTATGAATGTTTTGATTCACCCTTTGCAGGTGTTTACATAAGCTCTGCAATTTGTCTTAGACACATCTCTTTTCACCTTTGAATGACTAAATCAGGAGTTAGTGGGCCCACTAAGGTACTATGTAATTAATCCAGGACCTACCGAAAGAGAAAAGAATTGTATGGGAGCATGGAAGGAATTTAACTTGGCAAGAGTGTTAGACCACCAGAAATTCACTGATTATTGCTCCTGGAAGCCAGTGATTACACAAGGATGTGTTTACAAGGGAAAGGTAAGACCTGCAATTTTAGAACAATTAAAAGCAGTTCCTATTACATGGCAGGCATGCTGAGTTTGAAAAGACTGTGGAGGTTTTCATCTCATTCACTTGGAAGCTATTTAATCCCTGAGGGTAAAATGCCGATTACACTGACCCCTCACCTTTGAGGGTGATTTGGGGGAGCAAAGAAAATTGACCACACAACAGTGCTTCTACTGTCTGCAGCCAGGGGAGAATATGGTCAGGAATCCAGACATGAGTGACCACAAAGGTCATTTGCCTCACAACAACACTTTAAAACAAATAGAACCAACATTCCACCTTTTAAAGTATTTTGCTGAGCATTTCCCATGATGGGAGGTTTGATTGAGCTGTGGAAAAGACAAAACCTTACAGCTCCCCAAAGAAGGGATATCCAATGGAATTTGCCTATCAGGGGTCAGGATATCAAACCTATGGCCCAGGATAGCTATGCATATAGCCCAACACAAAATTGTAAGCTTATTTAAAAGATTATGAGATGTGCACACGTATGTGTGTGTGTGTATGTATAGTTCTTGAGCATGAATTTTGTAGATGACAACTTGTATAATGATGTCATGCAAAATACATCTCCTCATTTCATGTCACCATGAATGTCTGAGATGACAATTACATCAATTTGTGTCAGATGCTCGGATTTCACAGCCCAGGGCACGCTCAGGCAAAGTCAGGCCTTGGTGACAAGGAAACCAGTAGATGACCCTGTCTTTATCCTCAGTTCCATCCTCTTGGGATTAGGATGTAACAATCTTGGAGAGGTTACCATAGAGATGATCCTTATCATACAGGATGCAAGGTTTGGGGACACGGTGAGGAATGTTGGTGTATGACAACTGTCCTGTCTGCTAGGCAATCAGTTCTTCTGGGACTAGAACCAGGTTCTGTCATTGTGTTCTTCACAGTGCCTGGGGTCTGGCCATGGTAGAACCATGCTAAACCCTAGCTGAGGGATCTAGTGAATCAGCCACTCACTGGCTGAGAACAGTTTGGAGGTCTACCAAGTTGGAGAGCTGTAAGAGCAAGAGGTCCATGGGTTGCAGAGATTTGCCCAAGTGCTGGGCTTTAGAGATATTTCTCCGAGGTCCTGAGGGGGCGGCCTCAGTTCTGCCTACTTCCCAAACCCCCGAAACCCCAGCCAGAACTGAGCTGGGAGTTTTGATCCAGATTTCTAAAGTACAATTCTCTCTTACCTGAATGTCCTTCCCTACTTGGACTGACTGAAGTCCCCTCCTCTGCTGGTAATGATGGGGGCGTTGAGTCAGGATGAGGTTAGATTCTAAGGTGCCTTGAACATGCTAGGGAGAAGGCTGGATTTTATCTTGAGACTATAGGAGTTGTTCAGGCCTGGAGTCAGGAGCTGACCAGCCATAACCTGTCAGTAGCAGGGGAAAATACAGTGGGGAAGAGGCTGCAAGAACAGTGGCTGCTGGGAAACTGTGATGATCAAGCAAACCCAACACAGTCTGTGAGAGGAACAACGGGTAGAGTGGACTTGACTGGAGAATGGGAGCAGGAAAGGCAAAGGGAGCAAGCTTGTGCCAGTGTGTGGATGCCAAAAACAAGGACTAAGACATACTAGAAGAAAAACCAAGGAGGGATAGCAACTTCATAATAATTTAGGCTGAGGCAGCCAGTATAAGGAGTCTGTGTGTCACTCAGGGAGATACCCCTCAGGCTCTGGAGTGATGTGGGCTCAGCAGTCCTCAACTTGAAGCCGACACTGGGATTAAATCAGTTCTACAGAGCCTGTAGGGACAGGAACCACTTCCAGGCTCCTGTTCTCCATGGCATGCTGTTACATTTGTCGTCTCCTGTTTGCTGGCCAGGAAAGTAGCCTGTAAGTGTTTATTACTTCTTTTATATTTGTATTCATGTCATCACTGTGTGTGGATTTGAAAAACTGATAAGCAATTCAGAATTACAGGCGTGCAGTTTCATTCATTTTCGGAAGCTACAGGACCTGGCTGCATCACTGCTTGTTACTCTAGCCCTCCTGACTCATTGTTTTGCGACTTTAAAAACAGATAGAGGAGGGAATGGAGAGATGGGCAGCGGTTAAGAGCAGTGGCTGCTCTTGTAAAGGACCAGAGTTCAGTTCCTAGCACACACATGGTAGCAAACAACTGTCTATAATTCTAGTTCCAAAGGATCCAACACCCTCTTCTGGCCACCAAGGGCACTGCACACATGTGGTGCACTTACATACATTCAGACGGAACGCTCATACTGTTACCCGAGTATATTATGTTAATTGCATTCTTGTAATAGACATTTTTATGCAGTTTATATTTTTGACAACTGAATTCTTTGGATGTTACTTATAATTGCACATTTCTCAGTATTTTTTGCCCTATTGAGGCATGAATATGATGAGACATAAATACAAAAATATAACTATTTTTTACTGATATATACCAAGTAGAATTTGTAAGACTCATTACAGAGATGTTTTATATATATCCATAAATGAATAAGAGCAAAAAAGAAATTCAAAGGCTTGAAACATCATGAGTGATGGCTGTCTTTGTGCACGGACCTCCATCTTCTGTCAGCACATGCCCTCCCCAACTAGGAAACAAAGAGCCAGATAGATCTCTGTATAACAACTTAAATTTAGAACTCTTGTACTTTGATTGGAAATGAGATTCTGTTTTCAAACTCCTAGGAAAATCAGGCCACGGGGCAATGCCCCTCTGGCACCTTGGGCCGCTATGGACATGCCACTGGACAGCATCATAATCTTAAAGCTTTACATATTCCCCAAGTCTGTTAATGTTTTGGATGTTACTAACACTTGAAATAATATATTGATTGAGAAAGGAAATGCTAAGGAAAAAGTCTAAAATTAAATCAAGACACGAGTGTTAAGGTAAATCCATCTCTACTTCTAGGACAGCTTTGTTTAAAAGGCTCTTTTAGAAACAGAGTGTAGTACTAATTTTCATGAAACTGGAATTTAAATTGTGCTAAAACAAAACAAAACCAAAACTATTTACAAAGACCCTTTAGGCTACACGACACAACTGTTTAATGAAAGGAGACTTAAAAAAAACAATGTTTCAATTTGGAAAATGTACTTTTTGAGCATAGAAATTCTAAATATTTTCTTTCTGAAAGACAACAAAATTAAAAGAATATTTGAACCATTTGTTTCAAGTATTCAAAGTAAACAAATAAACAATAGTCACACCACAAGTGAGTCTGGGCCGTGGGCCTGGCAAAGGCAGAGCGGGCTCCTGCTCTCTGTCCCCCCATCTTGTGGCCTTTTCAGAAATGGTGGCAAGAGGCTGCCATCTGAGTGAGTTGAAGGAGTGAACGTGAGGGGCTAATGATTTAAGACGATGATTTAAGATGATCAGACCTTGTACCAGGACTAGCATCTACTGAATTTGAAGCCTGGGCTAGATTGTTTAGTGGGGGACCTTAGAGGATGCTTAGGGTTTGATTTTAGGGGGACTTCTGTGGCATGCTGAGCTAAAGCCAGAGGGTCCAGTGTGTACCATCAACATGAATTCTGTTGTCTTTCTACTTGTGATAGTGCCATCGCTTACTATAAACCAGTCACCAGCCTGTTTCACAGAGTAAAGTCCAGAGACCTTGGAGGTGACTCAGAAAGGCCTGGCTGGTGTAGCTGTCCCCGCAGAGCATTTCCTTCTCCTGGGCAAGAACGAACCCAGTGATGACGTTCCTCTAGGGAGTCTTAAGGGATAACAAGGGATAAAGGATGCACTGTTTGTGGGGGGTGTGGTCGGAGACTTAGTGTGAGAGCCATCCTGCTAGGTGATGCCATGTCCGCTAGAGGTTCTTTATTAATGTGTCACATCTCTTGTCTGTGTAGCTGTCACCTCCTGTGCTCTGAACAGGAACTTCTCACCTCCTCCTCCCCTGATCTCTGGTAACTCCTGTTGTACAATCTACATCTTTGGCCCGTTTCTATGATTACAAGAGTAATCGTACAGACTGGAGACATAGCTCAGTGGTGGACTGCTTGCCTAGCATATGTGAGACCTTGGCTTCAATCCCCAGTACAGAAGAAAAAGGAATCGCACAGCATTTTTCCTTCTATGAATGGATGGCTTGTTGCACCTGGCACAACATCCATCCATGCTAATCATAAATGGTAGTATTTTCTACTTTTCGAAGGCTCAGTGATATGTCATTAAACTTGCACACTGCATTTCCTCCATCTGTTCTGCTGACCAACATTCAGGTAGTGTCCATATCTTGACTCTTTTCAATGA